GATACTTCATGGCCAGAATGCGGTCAGATATTTTCAGACCTTCGTTTTTGAAGGCCCTCGTTGCTTCTTTTCGAGCATCTTTAAATCTCTCCTTTGCAGCGGAGAGCTTTGTAGTAGCTGATTCATCCAGGCCAGTAAGCTCCAACTTTCTAATTCCATTAATAAGAGAAAATCCTTCATCACAGGCCGCCCCTGCTGTTGCCGCACCACACTCGTTTCTAGACTTTGCTATCTCAAACACTTCAAACAACAACGCCATTCCTTCCTCGAAAAAGCTGATACTTGTTTCAAAATCTTTCCTTGATAAAGCGTCCAACTTTGACTTGATGTCGTAGATTTCACGGACGATCAAGGAGTGGAATTTCTGGTCTGTTACATCGCCATCTTTGAGTTTTTCCGCGAGCTCATTTCTGCCTTTTCTTACGAGTAAGCCAATAGTGGCTTTAAACGCATCATATACAATCAAAGACATAACTTGAATCCTTTTTTCTTAGGAGACGCTACTTTACACAGTGCAATAGAGTTTGAACAAAATAAACATGCAGTTTTCTAAAATTCCGCTCATCAATTTGGATCAAAGTTTCAGTTCAGTAGTTTCAGTGCTTTGTAAAAGCTCAAGACAACAGGCGATCTATCAATTTTAACCAACCGTATCGTCCTCAGGGGAAAAAATAATAACGATCCCAGTGGTAAGAATTTCAAAAATTTGTAGTTAAAGTTTGTCTTAAAGAGTAACGAGGTTGGAAATCGTTCAACTCCTTCATTACTGGTTCTTTCACAGCGGCGTAATAGACTGGAGAATGATGACTGAAAAAACTGACCGGAATAGATGTATCAATGAAAGAAAAAACACTCCAGGAACCAAATGAGCTGAAGCAAACTCAGTATTCACTGTCATCTTACTTCGCCTCAGGCTCAAAACACCTTTTATGTATTCGGCTCCAATTGATGAAACGAGACTTAAGTAACTGCAAAAAAAGTTCTCAAACCCATGTGAGTCTCAGACGGTTTACTTTTTATGGCATATTGATTAATTAGATTCGACTGGAATAATATCAACATCTTTCGTGTTTAATGAACCCGATTTCAAAACATTTCCATTACCGACTCAAAATAAGAAGACTGTTGACCCTTAAGAAATCACGTCAATGATAATTAGTGTTTTTGTCGACGGAAACAGAGGTATTTTTTTTACAGCTGAGGTCAGTTGACATTTCTAGATTTCAGTCGAAAACTATGGCATTCCTTTCCGCAACTAGGTTACGATAAAACGACATCTTTTCCGAATTATATGTCCGTAAATGTTCCAGAATATCTTTCAAGATCTTGATTCATCTCCATGAAATATTAACATTAAAGTTTGCTTAAGGGTAATGACGCAGTTCAGAAATAGCTCGTCATTGTTTCACCGGCTCCGCTTTTTGTTGTGTCCCTGAAGGAAGCCGCTAGATTGTTTGTTTGTCATCCCACAACGTAATGAGTGCAGTCTTAGTATTTAAATAACAGTGCAATTTTTTTTTTTCACGAGCAGCAAGTTGATTTAAATTGACCCTTTCTTGTCCTGAGGTTTAACCACTAACCATTAATACCATTTCGGCAGGAACACTCCGAGGAATTGGAAAGTTTGTTTTTCTTTTAGTTCTAGTTTTAG